CCAGGAGAACTTTCGAGCACACGATGACGAATAAGAGGTGGTTGTAATACACAATCTCCTGCATGAAGGACGAATGGATCTCCTTGATCTTCATAAACAAGACGTACCCAACCTTTATAAACATAAATCATTTGAAATCGAATATTATGATAATGTACATGATCGTTGACAATTCCACCATTTAGAATTTGAATATGTGATGCAATAAAACGACCACCTTGACGATCAGGAATTAAATCACGATAATTCATTCCAGCACGTCCTTTGATCCATTGATTATCAGTATTCATTCTACTGAGAACAAACGATTGATTGATAGGTGGAATAGCCAGTTTAGAGTTAGTTTTTACTAATTGAATCTTTGTACCATTCGGAGCAACTAACTCAGTAGTTTCGTCTGTATCAACATCTGATTCATCTTTTAAATGCAAACGTATAGTACCAAGTGATTGTGTTGAATGATCAGTATTACGTTCTAATCTTATTTGAAGTCCATATCCAGAAATAATAGTAACAGATGGATCATCAGCAGGAGAAATCATATCAACACGAAATCCAAGTCGATCTTTGAAGAAAGTAACTGTTTCATCTAATGATAAACATGAAACGACTAGTTGTGCTGATTGAATATTTTCCATCTTCAAATGAAGTAATTGATATCTATAATTAAAATTAGAATTATATTTCTTAAAACCAAATATCTCATTGTATCATAGATTTTATAAGAATGTAGATAAAACTTGAGCTGTAGCAGTATACACACATCTATTCTTTATATCATAAAGAGATTTTTTGAAGTAAAATGTATGAATGGAAAGAACAAGTTCAGAAAATGATCTTATATATAAAATTCTCGAATTTTCTTGCTCTCTAAATCCTTCCAAGCGAAGAAAAATAACAAGATTTATTTAGTTTTGTAACTACCATGAAGAAACAAACAACAGAACGCAAAACGGTAACACCCTAGTCTATTTCACTTACGCTCATATTCCACATCCCCAATGTCATAACAAAAAAGAAAACAAAATACATCGCAAAAATATTTTAAATCTATAAAAGCCAGATGAGAGACACGATCAAATAAAAAGTAATAAAAATACGAATTAACTACAATGAAATCTTCTTTTCAACAGATAATTTGGAAACTGAAATAGAAACTTTCATTCGGTTCATTTCAAGAAATGATTGTAACAAAAAAACTAAAGTTACATGTTTTTTTATCGATAACCATAAGAATTCTTGACAATTATAACTTCTAGAACAAGAAATTTTAATATCTTATGCAATTTTCGTTGATCAGTCATTACAATAATTTCATTCGAGATACTCTCAAAATAAATGATGGAAATGTTCGATCTTTCATTCATTCGAGTCCTAGATCGCTCTACTATGCTAGTGTTTTGAGTGATCATGAATTTTACAATCACGATCGTAATATATAAACCGAGGATATGGCTGAAGAGATTACTTACGCCGTCAGCGACACCCACACTCTGAAAATAAAAAGGAGTAAGGTAACCTTTTTATTGATAATGTATTGTATGAAGATACATGAAAGAAAATAATCAATTTTATCGTTTACTTTATCCATTGTTTTAAATTTATCCAATAAAATATATGATATAGATGACGCGACTAGATGATGATTATTTTTTTCTCTTCTAAAAATTAAGAGATTCGACTACTCTGCTTTAAATATCGATTCATGCCTCGTTTTCTTCTTTTCAACATGATCAAAATGTATAATAACAGACAAGATACATGTAGATATTAAATTCATTCCTATTGAGATCTACGACCTATGCATCATTGGACATAATTTGTAAAATATTTTTATTTAGAATGCAAGATTAAATGTTAAATATAATTTATATATTATAAGTTTATTATATATTCTTTGTCTATTTTTTAGGACCGGTGCCAGTTATAGCTTTCGTTGGACCACTTTTGCCCTTGGCACTAGACGGCCGCTCAGGTTGTAATTCTTGTATTCCTTTTCTAACTTCTTCAAGTACTTGAGTTGAATAGTCCATACCGCCATCATCTTCTTCATCTGTTAAGTCGTTCTTATCAAATTCTCGTGCACAAGATTCTAATAATTCTTTTTTAAGGTTTTTAGCCCATTTCCATTTTTCTGTTAAATCATTTTGATTATAATGACGAGGAGGCATAAAACAACAACCGCAACAACGATTAAAAACTGAAAGTATTTGATATTTAAGAATATCAAAATCAGCTGCTAATTCATAGAGCATATCAAGACGTGTATTTTTAGCAGAATCCATCATTGGTCCAATTTCACCAACAGCCAAACCTATATTATTATATTATTAATACAAATAAATAAAAGAGATAATTAAAGTTTTTCTTACCAACAAGAAGATTAGATACAAGAATTGTCATAATAATAGCAAGTAGAATCAATATGACCACACACATCTTATAATACGCTGTAGTACTACTATTATACAAAAGATCATCAAAACCAACTTCACCGCCTGCCATTAATACTAAAAAAAGAATATTATTTAAAATTAAGAAAAACAAGACAAATAAACATACGTATTTTGCCTAAACTAGATCCAACAGTACTGAATTGAGCAAAATTTTGAAAGACCATAAAAAAAGTTAAGCCAAATGCACAAAGAAAAATCATTAAAACTGGTACAAAGAGTAAAAATCGAATTAAAATTTGTTTCATCATAATTACATAAATACCAAATATAGGTACATATTGTGTATAATAAAGTAATGATATATAACCAAGAAAAAGACCACATGCACCAACTTCCCATTGATTTGGACAACGCATTGTAACTCTTGATTGAAAATCATAATCAAATATAAAATAATAAGCAAATCCAAGTGAAATTAATTCAAGAAGAAATGTAAAAATTTTAGTCCAGCTAGTTCTTAGATAACCAATAATAAGCCATATATTTTTTACGAGAACTAATATCATAAAAACATACAGAACAGTTTTTAAAACATCATCGGTTGTTTCTTTTAAAGCAGTATTACTAGTTCCAAGTGCATCAGCAACATTCTGACATAAACCATAATCAAAATCAAAACCTGTTAGACTATAATAATATTGAGGTTGAGTTGCTCGTACAACAATTGTTGTAAATATACCAAGAAAAGCAGCAAAAAGAAGAAAACTAATCAGAAAAAGTAGAAGACTAATACCATAAAATTTTTGATTAACGAGACTTCGACTTAATGGATGGGCCATTAGTTTATATTGATTATGAACAGCCATAAGAAAAAGTGGATGATTCATAACTAATGTTTTGTAATCAACTGTATATGGTTCATCTTTTTCAATAGCGTCATATTTAACAGAAGCATGACCATCACTATTCAAATTACTATTGAGATTACCTGGAAAATAAAACAAATAGTTTAATATATATATATCAATTATTTTATATGGATTTTAGACACAAAAATTGAAAACTGTTAACAATAGCTCTATCCATGCAAACCGATGTAAAAGTAATGATACTTTCAAAAACTCACTACACGACCCGTCGAAGAGCAGTTTATCAGGTCTTGCAAGGAATAAGCTCAAACTGCGGAATCACCTTGAGTGTATAAGGTAGACCCTAATAAACTATAGAAAAAGCTAAAAAGCATAAGTGCTGCTTGACCTTTTTACTAGAGTTGTAATCGTTTTTCTTTCCGTAACTCGGGCTCGGGCTCGGGCTCGGACTTAAGCTCGGGTGTAGCGATAGGTGTGGATGACAGTGGGGGTGAGAGTATGGATGTGCTGAGTGCGGGTAATATCCTTTTTACTCTCACTCATATTTTCACCCACACTCATCCCGAGCCCCGACCGAGCCCGAGCCTAACCGAACCCTAGAGGCTCCGGTTCAGTACATCCCTAGCTCAGACATATGCTTTTGACTTAGTGATTACCTTTTGCCCAATTTCGAATAACGTATTGATCTTCTAAAAATTCGTAATCGAAAAATATTCTATGTATCTTGGATGTTTCACTTCCAATTGTTGTTGTACATTTTTCAAGAATTGCAAGCGCCATGTCAGGCATAGTAACAATTAATTTTCGCATTGGTGTATCAGCTGTTCGACGATCTAAACCCATACGACATGTATAGAACGAAAATCGATCTACACATTTACAACATGGTATACAACAAGTTTCATGACATGATTCATTTCCAAATGTACAACATGGTTCACGACGACTTTCATAGAGTTGTGCATTACGCATTAATTCAAATATATAATCATGATCAATTAAATATTGAACAGTATTTTTATTTTTTTGTTCAATTGCTACTTCTAAACAATTAAAACCTCGATTATTTGTTTGTAATAAATTTGCACCACGATGTAATAATGTTTTAACTTCTGAAGATGTACCAGATCCACATGCAATATGTAATGGTGATTCTCGATGAATATTTAATGCATCTATGACAGCACCAGCAGAAATAAGATGTTCAATGCATTCTGTACGATCTCGATTTTCTTCTTCACTTGTTTCAGACGATCGAACAGCCTCGTGTAATGGTGTATGATCATTTATATCAAGTGCATGCAAATCGGCGTCGTGAGAAATCATTAAATCAATAATCTTTACATCACCTAGAAAGAAATTAAAGTATTATCTTGTAGTTATCAAATTTTCAAATTTACCTTTTGCTGCAGCCTTATGTAAACTTGTTTGTAATTCATCATCACCTTTATCAATGAGTTTTTTCGAATCAGGTACTGTTTTAATCATTTGTTCAACAATTTTACTAAATCCCTTATTGATAGCTTCATGAAAAGGTGTGTATCCACTATTATTTCGAACTTCTAACATTTTTAAAGTTTGACCTTGATCAATAGGTAATAGTTTGTCACACATATATTGATTATTTTTTTGTGCACAAATATGTAATGCTGTATTACCCATAACATCAACCGATGTCATATTGGATCCATATTGTTTAACTTTACCTAATAAACTATCAGTAATTGCTTCATCTGGATATTCTGCACATATATGTAATACTGTACGTTCCAAATCATTACTTGATTTTTCTAATATAGTTTTATCACAATAATTATCATTAAGAAGAATTTGAATGCATTCATATCGACGATTTTTAACTGCTATCATTAATGGAGTAAAACCCTCTTTTGAAATTCCTGTTGACATAGTATTTTTATCAAAAAAACCTGATAATTTAGGATCTTGAAGTCGTTTATATCCGTGTAATTCACGACAAGCTAAATTAAGGATATAAGTCTTCGTTTCTTCTGTTGGAACTAATTCCGATAACGTATCAGGATTATTAAAACGAACAGCAGCATGAAGAAGTGAACGTACACCTTGATTACTACCTGGTGTATCAGATTGTTTCTCTAAATATTGTTGAACTTTATCATCATGACCATATTCAGCTGCCCATTCAAATGGTGTTTTATTATCGATTGTTTTCATTTGAAATAAGTCTTGGTGTAGAGGAAATAGTGAAAACATTTCTGGTCCTTTTCCATAACGATAAGCATAATGATATGCTGTAGCTCCTTTTACATCAGGTATCTATTTAAAACAAATATTTTTTAGCATAAAGAATACCCATCTTCGTATTCTATTAAAATCGTTTTTAGACTTAAAAAATTAAACTTACATTAACTCGTGCACCCTTGCCTAATAACATATTACAAATACTAATACGATTTCTCATAATTGCATGATGTAATGCTGTTCGTCCTTTATCATCTCGCATATTTACACGAATGTCCTCGTGTTTTAGTAAAATATGTAATACCGAATCCTAATAATATAAATAAGAAATGAAAATATATTTTATTATAGATGTTTCGATCTACTTGTTGTGTATCTTTTATTTTTTCTTCAAGTTGTCTTGAACAAGCAGCTAAATGGAGTGGTGTTTGACCAGCCCAACCCAATAAATTAACGTCTAAACTCCGAATAATATAAATAAAATGTAATAATATATATTATTTCTTACTGCATTGATACTCTTTGTTGATTAATTTTTCACAAACATATTTATTATTGGATCGAATAGCATAATGAAGTGGTGCATAACTATTTTCATCATCAAGTTTTTCAGTTATTTTCTTTTTACTTCCTTTATACTGCAATCGACTAAAACGTATTTCAATACTATCCCATCGAACCTTTGTTCTTTCTTCATCTTGACAACATGCAGCCTAATCATATGAGGATCATTCATAAAAAATAATTGACTTTTTTTTTTGTCAAAAATAATCTTACTTGTTTCAGTTGTTCATAAATTGTGTGCATCGCTTTTTTTTCCGTATCTTCTTCGGGTGTTATATTCTGCTTTGGAATAGGCCGTAATAAATCCATTGGAATAATCGTGCTTGCTGGCAGCGCAGGTGCTACTTTAGCAGAATTAGGACGATGTGTATTGTCATTATTCGAATTTTTCATTTGAGTAACTGAATTTTCAAAATCTAAAATAAAATTAGTGAGATCAATTCACAAAACACATATTTCGATTAGTCTAATAAGACTATTAACCAGATCATTCTTGAAATTATTCTATATTGAACGAGAGTGACTTAGTATTTTTCAAGGTAAAAGAATCACTTTAAAAGTAAAAAATATTGATCTGATGACTCATTAAAAATCTTTAGTTTCAAAACGCTAGGAAAATACTAGTTCTAACAGTTATTCAATGTGGAACTAAATTAAACGAATCCTGGTGGTTTTTTAACATTTTTTGGTCTGAAAAAATCAAATCTGGACAGTATAAGTACTGAAAATAATTCTTACCTTATTGATAAGTAAACTTGTGCTTGAAATTCTATAATTTAAAATGTTAACAAATATTGTTTTGCACAGAGTTTTTATGACGACGCTGAAAAACAAACGGATTAGTAACGGTTTGCAACACACAATTTTTTCGTTCTGTCTTTCTTACTCTAAAAACAGAAACATGGTAACCGTTTTAATTTTTTTTTTGGTTAGTGAATGACGATTTATATATACAAACTGCTATGGTTGCATACTCTGTCATTGATTGTATATGAAGGTAGGTTGTTGTTTACCTTATGATTCGATTCATCAACAATATGACAAGAAGAGCAGTAAAAGCGTATTTCAAACAAAAAAAAACAATTTTTTTTTCATCCAGCAACGAAGAAACTGTTACTTCTTAACAACAAAACAATTTTATCCATGTGCCATTGCAAAGCTATTAAACTTAAATATTCTATAGTATAAAAATTTATTTCTTTTCTTCTCTTGTATTTACTTGCATGCATATGTTGGTTTAAATAAATTCAATTCGAAATAACAACACGTCAAAGGAATGTGAATAAAGTAGAAAAATATAAAATACTCAAGAGAATATTTAGATATACATGAAATTCTATTGGACAAAGGTGTGTGTACAAGATTGAAAAAGAGATACATGACGACATATTGTGTTAAAAACAATCATAGGATAAAGTTGTTGAGATACGTTAAAGGATAGAGAAGATGTAATAACACGAATTAGAAAGATGATGAATCAACTGAAGGGTAATAACATTTATAGAATAAATGTGACGTTGCCATTTATTGCGTTTCATAGATTGTTTTGCTTTTGTTTTTTCTCAGAGAATTTTGTAACCTTGATAGTTTAAGTCTTTTTATGAAAATTTCTTTCATTTTATCCTCACGCACATTCTAATTCATATAATCTTTTCAATTTGATATTAGAATAATCAATAGACGAAACACCATCTTGAGGGTGAGTGTGGGTATGCACGACTCCTTCTCTTCATCAACATCCACATGAATCGTATAAAAAATTCTCAGTTGATTTATATTCACATGAGAATAATGGAGAATGGGAACTGTTGCGACAATTTGTAGCGGCAGAGAGAATATAAATAGAGATGGCGCTAATTCGAACGAATATTTTATAGAGGTTAATAATGATATATGACGATGGCGCATCTTTGTTTCGAATAAATTATTTTTAAGTCTATATCCTTCACAACTATTACGTAACAACATTTCATATCTATCGTTTTGATTAACAATGGCTTCTTCGTCATCGTTACTTGATCATTCATTTACTACAGCATCTTCTTCTAATCCTTTGAGTTCTATTCAAGCTTTAGGTGAAATTCCTTTTCTAAAACCTGCTCATTCTATCTCTTCTTCCACTGCTACTATTGATGGCATATCTATTGAAACAACTAAAAATTCGTTTCCTGTCTTTGATCACACTGATAATTTACGTATTTTTCAAGGGAAAAAGATAGTTTTCTTTGGAGATAGTGCTATACGATTACTCTATCGTGATTTATCAAAATTATTACACAAAAACAAATTCATGTCTGAGATTGAACTCAGTAAACAACGTTACGATCATCCACTATATGTCAGTAAGTATCAATTAATAATCTAAAAAGACGATTCTTTTCTTCCGCACAATACATATTATGATTGTACAGTCAGATTAAAAACTTTATAATTGAATCTAAAGATTTTTTTTGCATATTAGATGAAATTTCAATTGAAACAAATGGTCTTGCTGGAATAAGTGATCGTATTGATTGTCGTCGTTTTATTTGTAAAGAATCATCGACTATATTATATTTGATTTATTTGGAAACAATTTTGAATGCAGAAAATTCTTTAACTGTTGAATGGTTACAACAAATTGTGGAATATCAATCAATTGATATTCTTATAGTATCATGTGCATATCTCGATTTATCATTGTATGTATTTTATTCTCTTTATCGTAGAGAAGAATCTTGCAAACATAAATTGTATGTCCGTAGGGTCACAAAAAACATCGAAAATCTGTTTTTCACGGTTTTCAGTTGTTTTTACAGTAAATGTGAAGACGATGTATTACGACGAGAAAGAGCTAAGCGAGTCCTGGGACTACCGTTACTTATTATTTTGCTTTTTCTGAAATATACTAAAATATTTCTTATCTATTTAATTAGTCGTCAATTAGAAACTTTAAATAAAGATTATGATACAACTTTACAAAGTTTTATACCTCAATTGTCAATTGTCTTATCAAAATTAAATTCAGCTTTTTGTGATCATAAACAATATGAATCCATTAAGATATGGATATCACCTATTCCGTACAAAATTAATGATATTAAACAATATCAACAATATACTCAACTTCTTGATATATGTCTATATATTACGAATCAATTTAAATTCAATCAATTAAGACACATGGATCCATGGATTCATTGTTATAAAAGACTTTATGTTAAAGATTCGTATAATATTTCATCAGAAGGTATATATTTAATTATTGATTAGTATTTGAAGAAAGAATCTTTGTTAAATATTTAGGAATTCGTCTATTAACAAATCAAATAATTGAAATTGTTGAAGAGAAACAACTTCGTCCATTATATCGAGATCTTTTACAGACAACTCGTGTACCTATTGTTATTTCTCTAACATCAATTCCAATGATAAACTCAACAGTTCCTATTCAAGTAGATATAGAAGATGAAAATCGACAAATTATGATGGAAAAAAGAAGAGCTCAATTTGAAATCACGAAAAGAGAAGGAAGAAAAAGACGTCGAGCGAATAAAAAACAGGAACAAAAAAAAATGAAAAATAAAATACCTTCATGAAAAAAGAAAGATCTTAAATGAGTTCAGATATGAATAAAATATCATTAATTTACATGTAACATTTTATTTCTTTTTCTTCGAACATTCTGTTTTGTAGATATCTGTTGATCGTTGGTCTGTACGACAACTACAATCTAATTTATTCTATATAAATAATAGATTAATATGAATATAAGTGAGGGATAAAATATTTCATCTGACAATAATCGAACTATATTTTGATTGTCAATACGCATCTATTCAGACATCTCTAGACTTGAGAAAGAATTATAACAGCAATAAAAAAAACCTAATATCAATAGTAACAGTCATAATGGAATGAATTTTACGATTATTCTTTCACAATTGTTCAATGCGGATAAATGAATGATTAAATATTGAAATTGGATATTAGCAAAAGATGTTTTTATAGTACATCAAAGTTTTATCTATAGTGAAACAAGTCAATATTTTTCAATGATTCAAAATTTCTTTTATAGTATGAGTTTGGAGTGATTCTAACATATTTGTTAACTTTTACTCTCCTGATAAAAGTCATTGATATTAACAAAATCAAATACAGGTTTTTTTTTCATAAAAAGAACGAAATTTGTTAAGTTCTTGACTCTTTATTGAAGACTAAATAGCACAAAAAACAATCACATACGAGGAACTAAAGATGGCAATTGTTTGGTCGTTAATCGTACTGGCTGAGAATTCAATGGTCTGCCAATATGTAACCTCTCGACATCATGACACCATAGTGTCACAATATTCAGCTGTCTGATGTTTATTTCTATGCAAGCGAATTTAAAAGGGTATTCATTACGATTGATTGTGTTAGTTTCACACACCACTAAAGTTCATGATACATATGCATCGACGACAGTTAAAAAGTGAATGTATACAAAAACTAGTTCTCTCATAATTACAATTAGAACATCAAGATTTGAAATAAGATTGAAGATATATGAGTTTATTCTATGCAAATGTTTTAAAGAATTGCTAATGTACAAAATAAAGAATACCTCTATAGGTTAAGTCTTTCAGTTTATTTTTTCTTTGTCGTTTTACAAAATCGATTTGGAAAAAAATTAAGAATATATTCTAAATCATCACCATCAGGTGATTCCAGAATTCGAATTAATTCAATTTTTGAACAATTAACTCTAGCTTGCTGTTGATCTTCAGTAACTATTGCTAATAATGGTTCATAGTGGATAAATAGTTCTACAAGATGTGGAAGATGAGTTCGATAAAGAAGTTGTTCAGCATAATCTGTATGTATATCGGATAAAATAAGTGTAACTAAATGAGTAAATTCAATGAAGTTTGTTATTGTCTTTGTTTTCTCTTGTTGTTGAAGTCGATTAATTACTTCAAGTGATTTGAGATAAGGTAAAGCTCGAGCAATAACTCTAAAAAATGTATCTTCAAACGGTTGTACATCATCGAAAAGTAATAATGTAGTCACATTTGAAAATGTATTCTTATCATCGAAAATTGGAAATCGGTTTGAAATAAAATCAAGTCGAGTACCAATAAATGGAAGTGAATAAATTTGACATTGACCATAATTATTGTTGAAATAATCAAGTATACAATCAACAGATTGTTGTTGACGACGTACACTTTGACGAATAGTATCCGCATTTGAGTGTGTGTTTGGTAATACTGAACGAATATGAAAATGAAATTCACGTAAATAAGGTAAATATGAAATAATATCACTATCTAAATAAAATCCATCAATAAAATGATTCGGTGCACATCTGCCTACACCAATAGCCAAGAATAATGTCAAATATTCGACAGTTAACAAACGTTGTAAAAGAGGTAAAATACATTGGTCATATTGAGGAGTATTACGATAGTTTGTTATTGTCAATTCTTTCAAATTAGGACAACGGATCTAAATAAAATCAATTGATTTAAATAATAAATTAAAAACAATTCTTACTAATGCCATTTGAGGAATAGTATCATATTCGCGTATACATATAAATACAAGATTTACTACAAAATAACGAAGTTGCAATCCTAATTGACTAAGTAAACGTATACAGTCATCAAAACTCCATAATGTGATACGAAGATGAGTAAGATGAGGTGACTGAGGAAAAAACGATTCATCGAAAGTGAGCAGTTTTGGTAAGATACAGTTATCATCGAGTTCAAACGAGACGATAGAACGCATCAATGATAAACAACGAAAAGCAGATATCTTCTGATCCATTGCAACATCTTCATAATCAAAAAGTTGAGATGAGATAGAGAAAAGAGGTTGTCTGCGCATTTTATTGATGAGATTGTTACCTAAAAATATATATTATAAATATAAATCTTATAAAACTATAAACAACATTCAAAAGCTTCAATCATTTCTTTTATTCTACAGTGTGACTCTTCTAAAATACATCCATATTACAGAACTACATAGTCACACTTTACTTGGACTGCGGATAAAAAGAGTGATTTTGATTGCGACATGAACTATGGAAGAACTAACGTTTTCTACAGATCTGTGGTCTTGGTACAATTGTTTATTGAGCATATTTTTTCTCAAGTATGTAGTTTAATTCTAATATAAACATTCAAGAAAATAAATTAATCATATTATAGTTCACCTAATGTAAAAGTTGTGCCTGTAGTAATGCATTTTTTGCCCATCATTATTTTCAAATGTGTTAAATTTGCTAGAGTTCCACCACAATTTTCTTGAGCAAATGTGCTGATATCTGTCAAATGTTGAAGATTGAATGCAAGAAATTGTATATTATTGGAAATGTGTGGCATCACATGTGCATAAAATCGTTTCATAAATGCTACATATGGTGATTTATAGTAATCAAACGTTAAGTCGAGTGAATGGGATTTTTCTAAGACGATTCGTTCCAGACGATTATTTCCTGTGCCAATAAGAGAATAAAACAATAAAAATTGTGGTTTAATTCTATTGATGATCGCCAAGATTATTTCGTCGGGTAAATCAAGTAATTCTTTCATTATAATTATCTACAAATAATAAACAAAAATCAATGGTATTCTTAAATGTCTATACCTTTGCGTTTCATAAGCAGCTCATTACTTATTTAAAGTATCCATCCGACTTGTGTGCATACGTGTATATCAGTATCGTTGGCCGTCGTACATTGTTTTTATTGCAACCAATCATTAATAAAGGTCTTCACAATCGATGTTAAAAATAGACTATGTGTACTTTTAGGCCCCGAGCAGCCAGAAAAGATGATTCAAAGAGAAGTCCTCTTTTTTAGATGACTTGCTTAAATTCAATTGTTAATGCCCCAGTTATATGAACGATCCGATTGAGTAATCAAATTTATACATCCATAAATACATGAATAAACGTGATGTTATTTATTCTTAAATAGTAGTAGTATTTTCATTGAATATTCAACCGTTAATAACTTTTCGAAATTCGCTATCCATTAAAAAAGCGGAAATAGTTTTTTTAGAACTTGAAAGTGCAGCTTATTCACTAGTTTCACAGCTTAATTTATTTAAAATCATGAATCGCTTTTCCCCCTTGCGATACTTGCTTCATATTTAATTAATTTAGTTTTCAGTATCGTTATTTATTACTTTATTCTGATTACAAGCCATGTTTTACTCTATGATTATTTATTTTTTTGTTTTCAAATTATAACACTCATATCAATAGTAAAGTAATATTTCTGTAAGAAGGTTCTGAATTAATTAATCTCAAATTAAATAACAAATTTTACATGTGAATCAAAAAATTAATTTCACACCAATCAAAAAGGAAATAATTAATAAGCATCGATATTAGAAGTGCGAAGGAACCAACTCTGAGATTGATGAAAATGTGATGCCTCGTATGAATTTTAGTTGAGTAAATCATCGATGAGAAGCTACCACGACGAAAAACAAATTCTCATTGATTCAAAAAAATATACAAACCTCCATTGTGGAGGACAGAAATGTAAATATGGCGAACCTTAGTAACCCAGGAGCAGCAGACATAATTTCTTTCATCAGCCACCATTTTCACTATTTCGAAGCCAGCTTTTGAAATAAATCTTTCCGAACATCTTGAGAGTGTAGGTGTCAGTGCGAGTCTTGGTATCAAATTTGATAATCACAACCACCCATCCCGTATTATTTCTAGCATGTTTCCTACTAATTCAGTCATTTACTACCGGAATATTAGGTGAAATCAATAAATCATGTATGATAATGAAGTTACATTTCAAAATTATAGGCTCAATGTTTGTCTAAAATCAAATATTTGAGAAAAATCATGAAAAATTATTTATGATCAATACTAGCATTTGTCTCATTTGTACAAATCTCATCACAAAGATAAGTCAAAGACACTCTTCTCTGGTTTATGGTGAAGAGAAGAAATACAATCTGTTAATATTATCGATACTGCACATTTATTTTAGACGCCATATGTATTATTTCTATCAGAATTAAGCATTTAAGTGAAAGTGCTAGAAATAAAAGACTAGTTTAGATCCATCAGTCGTCTGAAAGTATTAATCTATCGATTATGACCATTTTGAGCAGGCTAAATAGAGGAAAAGGCATAAGAATTTGCAAAAAAAATATATAATTATATTAGTAATAGAAATGAAAATTGTTTGGAAGAATTATTAGTTGCTAATGTGAATGAAAACGAATACAGTTTTGTAAACAACAAAAAGCAAGTAAGAATTAATAATCAGTCAGACAAGTGTTGAAAAAAACGACAGCTTTATGTACAAAGAGCGCACATTTTTGTGCATTATAAAAATTTATTTTTTGGCAAGAATGAATTTTATAACGTTACTATACACAAACAAAGTTGCTTTTTCATCAAAATAAAATTGTTTTTATCGTGTTAAAATGCCGTTTTTTTTCAAAGCTTCTTCGACTGAGTATTATTCTATGTAATTCTTTTTTGTTGTTCAACCATTCGCTGACTTGCTGGTAGCTGATTTCTTCTTCTCTATTCACTGGTCTTTGAAGTTTTTGTTTTAGATAGAATTTTTCCAAAAAAATTATATAAAATGATCAGATGGAATATCGAAACACAAAAAAGCGGAATCACTGATACTATGAGAATAAATATCTTAAGTACAATAAGTACTTCGATTGATACACATGGAACATCGTCAATGTATAATATTGCGAAGGACATTAAGAAGTGGCTTGATTCAACCTATGGGAACTATTGGAGTGTAATGATTGGTGACCCAAACACATGTACAAGCTATATTACATATTCTGAATCTAAATATTTCTGTGTCGAAGAAAAAAGATTGGGATGGAGATTTGTAATTTATAAAAACGCAGGATAATACAAAAGCATGATACGATTGACTACTTTTATAATAAAACAATTTTTATTGTATGATCATCGACATTGTGCTTTTCTTTTTTTTTTTATAAACGATTTAAAAATAAACGAACACATTGATTGAGAATGAAGATGTGGATAATGGTGCCTCTTTTATTTTTCTACTCACATATGCACACTCTCACAATTGATAGCAAAGTTGCTGGGTGGGTGTGGGTGTGGGTGTGGTATCGAAACGTTCCAATTAAGAAGCAATTAGAAATCTTGTTCTTTTTCAGATAATTATGAAAAATTTCGTAATGATCACATAACAATCGATCAATTAAACGGGAATTGTGTCTCTATGCATATATAATTTGAGAAAAGATTTTCAGTTTTAATTAAATCCGAGATTGTATTTTGATTCGTGAGTATGATAAGATTTGCTTGATAAATGACCTTTTTGCACTATTTAATTATTTATTTTACTGATACAAAAAAATGAAGAACTCGTGAGAAAAAAGTTGATAAATATTTAATTATTGTTTGAAAATGAACGAGAAAAATGAATGAACACGGGAAGAAATATTTCTTTATTTTATTGCCTCTGGTGAAATAGAAAAACATATTTAATATTTAATTAAACAGGTCTAAAAAAGAGAATACATTTATAAACATAGAACTTATTGTAATAGTCCATTGATGTTAATTTTTCAATTAATCTTTATGATTTTATTCAACGATTTGATTATCGGTGATCAAATAAAAATTGGAATAATAAATAATGTATCATTGAATGTTCCTCAATGGAGTACTCGTTCCCTATTCTATCCCGTGTTAAATGGAACATGTGAGGAATGTTTATGTGCTGTAGTAACTAATTCATCTGCTTTGAACTCAATCGTCTTGAATGATATTGGTTCATTTAATTGTTTTCTGAACAATCAAACGTGCCAATTTTTTTCAAAATCAACTTTTTATCAATTTTGGCTTAGTAATGATAATGATACGGACTATTACATATTTCAGTTACCAACAAGTATTAAAATTAGTTTTCTATTAGTTTTAATAGTTTAAAAAACTTTGATTTTTCTTTTATAGCATTGAATGAATCTGATCTACTTGCGTGGCATTCATTCGATAATGGATCATACAATGATTCAAGTGGAAATCAACTTAATGCGATTGAAGTTGTTGACGTCTCACCAGCAGTTGGACGGATCAATGATGCAGTGAATTTTTCTTTAAATACATCATTATATAAAGTGTGTGTATCGATTACATATATATTTTTATTAGTTAACATGTTGTTTTTTAATATTTAGATAGGAGGTTTTATCCGTTTAGGTCAATCGGAACAACCATACTCTGTGGCACTATGGGTACGACCAAAGATCCTGCAAGAAGCACCTCTTGTACATCTTTCTGCGCAAAGTGATGGTCAAGGATGGTGTATTGATATGTTAGGTTTTCTTGTTGATGGTCAAACTGTCGCTCGTTGTTGGCAACTATCACCAGTTATTGTCAATGGTTTAGTGTTACCGATTGATGTTTGGACTCATGTAACAACAACATATTCTCCAACAATTGGTCTTCAAATCTATATCAATGGAACATTAATAAATCAGTCGTCACCATTTTCTTATTCAGCATCAGATCAAAATAATTATATAACACTTGCTAATTCTTTGTTAGCTCAATCTGGTTCTGCATGTGCTTCAAGTATGATTGCGCAATCAGGAGTATTCCACGGGTTAATTGATGAACTACGCATTTATACTAAAGCATTATCACAAGATGATATTGATGCTCTTGCTAATCCTTAATCATATTTTAATTATTATTCATTAACAGATAATTAAACTATATGAATTTTCATAGTTTAAATAAGAAATATTATGTACCTATCAATTGACTGAATGTATTCCATCGAAGAAAGAAAAAAAACGTCAATAACTTTTTCGATCACATAATTTGGCACCTATAAATCATATGAATGTCCAATGAATAATATTAACTATACTATGTTAGGACTGACAGTTTTTTTGGCTTAAATTTTCCGGTGATTTATAAACAAAACTGGATGTATGTGTTGTATATCTGACACCCACACGTACTTTCGACAAACAACGACATTTTATTACAGAACTATACTGAATACGTCACATTTTCTTTTCTTCTTATTCACTTACAGAAAAAGAAAAAAAATATTCATTGTAAAACACGTGCATTTTTTTTCGATTGATAAACGATGTCAAGTGTGGATGTTATGACCATCTTTTACTCACATCCAAAATACATCACCGTTTTTGCTCACTGTAGTATGCTTCTTTTATATACACTGTAAATAAATCTCGCCACATCATTTTCTTCTTCTAACAAATGTTAAATCAAGGACGAACAGCAACCATCGAAATATTAACAACGAAAACAAAATGGTAAAAACAGCCGAACTGTTGATGCACATTAACTGTTAAAGACATAGAGAAGCAACCAGAGCACGAAAAAGAAATATTTACATAACAATGGTGCGCAAATATAGAATGTATTTTTCTTCATTCCTCCATTAATTCTTATTCTATGTATGACCAAAAAAAGCCGTAATAAGTCGTCAAAGTATTTCTTTTAGTTTGTTGTATATCCTTGCGATCTAAGTTTATGTGTTGAAGAAGAGAGCAGCGTGCTATATTTTTACCAGTTACAAGGTAAGTCTTACAACGATAATTGAATATGGAGTTGATGAATGTAGTCGTTCACAAGAAAAATATATATGTGGGTGACAGTGAGGATGACATAATTTTAAAAAATCCTGAAAGTATGAAGTATATAAAGATCAGACAAATAAGAAATATTGGCGTATCAGTGGGAATATTTCGCTGGTTTTGTTTTGTAATTTTGCGAAAAGTGTACTGACAGTTTCTTTCGTATAATTTTTTTTTTAGGAAAAGCAGTATTTTGTGGTCATGGGAATTAATCCAATTGCTCGTAAAACGTTATCTTTAAGGATTTCAAGACAACACTTCAACTTTATCATCATTATAGTTTGCAGTTTAGTATTCTATGCTGTTTTGAGACGTACCAATAACTGTTCTACAAGTGCTCTATGGAAAGCATGCAAAGCATTACATTTACCAGATTACTTGAAAAAACTATCTAATTCATCGGTTTTGGAAAATTTCACTGATGTAAACAGTATACCGGGTACAACTGGACCAGGTGTTCCCACTGTCATACGGTTGGCTCTCTCGACAAAGTATGGCGGCGTGAATACTAGTGCTACGTCATCCTATGGTGCTGCAGAGGGTATGTAAACTATACACAAGATGAAAGATGATAGATTCTTATACACACTCAACAATATACCCCTAGTGAACGTTTGAGTTTATTTTATTTTAATTTAAATGCAAAAATCTGTTGTTGTCTCTTTTTCAAATAGTATTAATTCAGTGATTAAGATAAGATAACTAACAAAATATATTCAATTTTTCCTTATGTCTTGCTTCTTCACCGATAACATCGCTTATTAAAGTTTTATTTTTCAGCCGTCAGCCGTTTGGAGAAAGAATGTGAATGGGATCCAGGTTCATCAAACTTCGTTCATCCTGAATGCATCAGGCAATTTAATTTTACTCGTAAATCACCTCCTTTTTACATATCCGATTATTATCGTGAAATTGACATTGTCATACCAACAATTCGTAATCTCGATTTTCTTGAACATTGGAAGCCGTTCTTCAAACACTTTCATTTAATTATCATTCAAGATGGTGATCCAAATAAAGTATTAGAAATACCAAAATGGGTTGATTTTGAACTTTACAATAGACGGGATATCGATAATATATTAGGTAAACATCAATCATGGATCATTAGTTCACACGATGCATCAATTCGAAATTTTGGTTTTCTTGTTTCAAATAAGACCTTTGTCTATACAATCGATGATGATTGTCTCCCGGCACGAACTCCTACTGGCGCTAGAATCGATGCCTTGTTAAGGCACATTCAAAATCTTATTACCAATTCGACTCCCTATTTCTTCAACACTTTGTATGATCCATACCGAGAAGGTTCAGATTTTGTTCGTGGTTATCCATTCAGTTTAAGACAAGGTGTGCCTACTGCTATCTCACATGGTATTTGGCTCAATGCTCCAGATTATGATGCACCTACTCAACTATTCAAAATCGATGAACGTAACACACATTTTGCTGATATGACTATTACAGTACCTGCTGGTGTTCTCTACCCGATGTGCTCCATGAATGTAGCATTCAATCGTAAATTAATTGGTGTAGCCTTCATGCAAGGTCTTATGGGTTCTAATATGCCTTGGGGACGATATGATGATATGTTTGCAGGATGGGCTAGTAAAGTTGTGGCAGATCATCTCAGTCTTGGTGTTAAAACGGGAGCACCATATGTTGAACATCACAAAGCATCGAATCCATTTGTAAATCTAAAAAAAGAATATATGGGATTTTTCTGGCAAGAAGATATCATTGCATTCTTTCAACAAATTCGCTTTCCATCATCTATCAAAACACCAGAAGGTTGTTATTTAGAATTAGCTAAAATGATTCGTTCGCAACTCAGTCATTTGCATCAATATTTCGATCGGTTAGCACAAGCGATGGAAATCTGGGTTCACCTGTGGCATCAAGCACAAAAAGGTTCACTCCGATTTCAACCGAGTCGTCAAGGGCGACCTAACATATCAACAAATATATATGCAGTCTTTACTATTTGTCGTAATGAAAAAGGATTCTTACCTATTTGGTTGAGATATTATCGGCGTTACTTTGCCGATGAAGATATCTACATATTGGACAATGATAGTGATGATGGATCGACATCAAATCTTACTGTCAATGTTCATCGAGTTTCCTCTGAAAAATATTTCGATCATCTTTGGCTTATAGAAACTGTTCAAGATATGGCACGTAGTTTACTTAGAAGAGGCTACAAATATATTTTATTTTGTGAAGTAGATGAAATGATCGTACCTGATCCAATCAAATATCCTTTAGGTCTTCTCGATTACATTAAACAAGCAAAGGCCGAAGTTACTCGTGTCACTGGCTATGGATTATTTCATAAAGCTACATCAGAACCGAAACTTAATCTCAGTCAACCCATTATGCCACAGCGAAATTTTTGGTCAAAAGATAATATGTACGATAAACCTTTGTTGATAAGCAAAGAAATTCATTGGACTGTAGGTTTTCATACCTGTAAAGAAAATGCTACACGGTAAGATTTTGTTTGATTCACCTTATGAACGATATTTTCATTTGGAATTTAGAGATGAGGACTTAGTCCTAATTCACCTTCAGCGAATGGATCATGATTTTTATATGGAACGCGCTACTTGGAAAAGCAAACAAAAGTTTAAGGTGGAAGATCTTCAAAAAGGCTGGGGCGCGCAACATGTATTTCGTGGGCACCAAGCAGAGGAATATTTTAGGAACCCATCGGGAACAGTTTCTAAAATTCCAAGACAATTTCGCACATTAACTCTTTTCTGATATAGATAAGAAATAGAAACTCACATCCAAGCCTACACTTACACCCTAGTTTTATATTAGATTTATTTTTGTGATTTTATGATTTATTGAGAGAAATGGAAGAGAGAAGAAAAAAGGTAAATGAATAAAACTGAAATCTATCAAAATCGAAAAATAAGATTAAGAAAATCTATTTTTTAAAAGAAAAACAAATAAAAGATATGTTATAAAGTTTCATTTAATTAACAAAATAATTCACTGAATTTAATTAAAATAATAAAATAGTGAAGAAAAATTGAATGATTTTTCTATTATATTGATAAATAAAAGAAAATAAAAATCTTTCAATTCAACGATTACTTACGAAATCAATGAATATTTTTCATTTAAAGAAAATAATGAAATTAAATATATATTTAAATATTTAATTGATCGATCACCGCACCTATTGTAATAAATTGAAATAACGCATTCCCCAGTAACCCAACAGAAAGTTGGTTGGATCCGTTTCAACAAAACCATCTCCATCATCTAAATCATATACTCCTTGATCCAAGTTTTTAGTAGATCTTTCGTTTGCAGGCAACATCTTTAATGACTTGATCGGCTGATAGCATTGAACAGGTACGTTGATTTGTACGTCCAAGCGATCACTGTTGAATTGTGGCCAATTAATTGATTCCAATGGCCAACGCTGATATTGCCATACACCGTCATTTGATAAAGAATTGCAATCATGCCGAGAAGTTCTCATAGTCAATCCATGGCGTTTGTTAGATGTATTTCTAGTCCAGTCGACTTGACCACTGGCATAGCAATAAATGAAATTAAAAAATGGTGTTTTTTCCATTTTTTTGTAATTGTGTGAAAGATCGAGTCCTTTCTCCATATATTCCCATAAAACATCGATTAGTGATTGTGCACGTGCCTTTTGAACTGCAGATAAACTAGTCGAAGAATCAATTGTGTGGAATGCATGGGCTAGATTAAAATAAGATAAATAGGCCATTTGATCATAATCAAATGCCTTCACAGCATAGGGAAAATCACTAGCACAAACAGCAATCATCTTCTGATTAATAAGATTGACATTATATTGATAAGATTCAATAAGAAGATTGGCACCATTGAGAAAACGTTCATCACCACTGTAACCATATGTTTGAAGTAGATAAGCCAGTATCTGAAGGCTATTTATACCTCGATCTTCTTGGTACCGACTATCATCGTTTATTTGAATAGGATTCCAGTAGCCCCATGTAGTACGATTATGATTCTCACCAAACAAATACCAATCATGTGTCAGGATATGATTGGTGATATTAAAAATGAGTGTGTAAGCTCTTCTTCGTTCATCATCGTTGCTAGCTAGTAAGTCATGCACGAGAGGATATACGAACTCATGGCCACAAATTTCATCAGATGAGGTATCACCCTGAAATTGAAGGTCTGGATAAACGGGAGAAGGGTACCATGGAATCTTAGAGAGAAAGTCGCTACGCTTTGCATATGAACGAGCAGGATAACCAGGAATGCCTGACGAAAATAGAAACAAAGAATAAATTAATCAGCATTACTAGTAGATGTGCCAGTGGCAGATACCGTTCTTAGGAACGGAATATCAACGAATGGGAATTCTCACACCTCTAATTTTTGATTAACGTTTTTGTAGTCAATACGCTACCTGTAACTTTATTGAGAAGTTCCATTGCTTCAAAGTGTTTCCAAGCCTGTGCTTTGACTCTTGCATCTTGCGTCACAACATAGCGAAAGATCTGACTAGCCAAATACATTGAAGTCCACTGGCCATCATTATCATCGGGTTCTTTGATGCAAGTGCGACTATCGCCCCATGATGACATGGAACAGTCAGAAACAAGTCCGTTTTTATCATGTCTCCCTGGTTGATCGACTATCATTTGAAAATGATCTGCTTTCTGTGCCAATGTCCACATCTCAAAACGAAGAACAGTAAGACCTTTGTTTGTGATTGCTACTGCACCACTAACAAGATTAGGAGATGCACCACTACGACTGCTCAGGACAGCCAAAGAAGATACATTAACCAACGATTCACGATTAGGCATGTATCTGGCACTATTGAACACACGCCAAGCATTGATATCACTACTGTTCGAATCAAAACGCATCACCCCACGTACCGCACCCAACCATACACGACCATCAGGTAACATCGACTGGCTAACACTTAGACTCGTAATGTTTGAAAATGGAAGATGACCAATATCTGATCCAGGATTAGAGATTTGTCCGGCCAATCGAGAAAAATACCAATGAAGACGACCTGTCGACATAATAATAGGTGAAAGAAGAGATATTCCTGTACTTTGGCCGATCCACAATTTGTCTTGCACCTCATTATATACCAAAGAAGTAATCGGTGCATCAATAAGTCCTGTGACATGTTCAAAACGCCAACCTTCCTTACCAATACCATACGAGTGAATCCAAAGTTTGATCTTTGTACCAACGAATATTGTCTGTCGTTTGGAACTCCATGCCAAAGAAGAAACAGACACATTGATCCCATTAAGAAATGGATGAATGATGAATGTCGATAAGTCCAGTCCATGCAGTCCCGAATCTGCAGCAAAATATAGCCATCCCCAAGCACCTAAATCCTCTACAAATATACCGCCTGTAATTTTAGTGGTATTCACAAGGGCAGAAGGAAATACTATCGTTTGTATAACTTTGCATAAACTAGCATCTGATCGATTACACAATATAAAGTGTACACTATCAGGTGAGATGAGTGCAGCTGTATATTTTAAAGCAGTGTCTTCATTATGTGATGTAACCAAAAGACTGGTATTTCTCTTAACATTGATCTCAGATAAAATTACCAGAGTTCCATTAGCAGATAAAGACATCCAAGACATATGAAGTGCTTTAACTGTTGTATTATAAGTCTCAGTACTGCTCTCAAGCAGTAACCAAACTCCCACAGCAGCTTGATAATGATATCGTGGCAATGAAACAGCTTGCCATACGTAGGAAACATTAGAAAGAACAGTCCAAGCACTAGATTCATTAGCAAACGGAGCAAATAAATAACGTTCAGTAATGACTTGCTCGAATTCATAATCGGGTATAGGTATTGGTGGTACTGTCTGACTATTAACAAAAGATGCATGTTTTGTTAAAAATAAATCTTTGGCTATTAACAAGCAAGTAAAAGACCAAATGAATGTCGACCACATTATATCACCTTCTAGTGAAAAATATATGAAGAAAGAATGATAAATGTCTTATATACGACGCAGATGTAACCATCACCTTTAAAACACAAGCAAGAACGACAATGAGATAACAATATCTTGCACTTATCAAGTTAGTTAAACATATCTTAAGTTTGTTATAAAAAGAAAATAGGAAAAAGATATTAAATATAATATTTGAGGGTGTCAGTGTGGTGTTGAAACTGTTTATATTACACCCACACCCTATTTCCGATTGCGATATTGTTGATAAGCAACAAAATTCAATCTTAACTTAATACATCGAAAAACAGTATAAGAATTTTATTCAAACATTAATCTTAAACATTTAAAAATAATCGTGAAAGAGTAAAAATTTTATTTATTACTCTTTCGGATTTATATTATTAACAAAAAAGTTAATATGTATTTGGCTTTTATTAAAATGAGTACGATATAGAGCCATTTTTAATAGACTTCATTTCGCATTTAATAGGTTCACTGGTTCATCAAATGATTTCTACAAAGTGGTTAACGATCAATAACTATTTTATATTACTGAAAACAGAAAACATTGAATTTTTTTCTACGCTTCATTCAGTAATTGTAAACAAACAACTAGACTAAGAAATACAATTTAATAAGCGAAGAAAAAAAAATGTACAATTAATGTGTTAACATAACTCAGTTTGAACAAAAAATGTATATCGTTAATTTATAATCTCCAAGAAAGAATATATATGATATTCCAAAAATAGGAATACAATTAACGTTAATTTTTTAGATACAACGGTATCTCAAAAGATAAATGAAGTGCTTTTGCCTTAATAATAAAAGTTTCAACGAGTTCGTTATGTAGTTTCAAATTTGGAACAGATAATTGTATTGTTTCTCCATTATCATACACCAGCAATTTATCCTCATTGATCGACACAGCAGCACCTTTCTGAAGTGTTATCTCAATCGCTGCCAACAACCAATCAGCATCTTGAGTATCGAAAAATTTTCTGATTAATTCATCCAGTGAAACATTTTTCAAGCACTCTAACGGTCTTCCACACACGCAAAGTTTTGAAATTAACATTGGACCAAAAGTAATCATCACAGCTGACGAACGAAAAATACCATCTATAGCACTTGCAGCTTCAAAACGCAACTGCCCATCAGCATCATTCATATTCGCAAGCTTAGTGATCACTTCATTCGTCGCGGCTCTTTCACCTATATTTCTGAGAGCTTCGTATGCACTCTCTCTGACCCATCTACTCTCATCTTCTAATGCATTAACCAATTTAGTGATTACTTCATTTGTCGCTGCTTTTTCACCTATTCTTCCGAGAGCTTCACATGCACTTGATCTGGCATTGACACGCACACTTTCTAATGCACTAACCAGTTTAGTGATTACTTCATTCGTCGCTGCTTTTTTACCCATATTCCCGAGAGCTTCGCATGCACACTCTCTAACCTCAGGACTCTCATCTTCTAATGCATTAATCAGTTTAGCGATTACTTCATTTGTTGCTGCTTTTTCATCCATTTTCCCGAGAGCTTGCCATACACTTATTTTGATACTGACACTTTCATCTTCTAATACACTAACCAGTTTAGTGATCACCTCCTTCGTCGCTGCTTTTTCACCTATTTTTCCAAGAGCATGGCATGCACTTAACCTGACCCATTGACTTTCATCTTCTAATGCATTAACCAGTTTAGTGATCACTTCATTCGTCGCTGCTTGTTTACCTATGTTTCCGAGAGCTTCGCATGCACTTGATCTGACCTCGTCACTCTCATCTTCTAATGCATTAATTAGTTCAGTGATCACTTCATTCGTCGCTGCTTTTTCACCTATATTCCCCAGAGCTTTGCATGCACTTGATCTGATACTGACACTCACACCTTCTAATGCACTGATCAGTTTATTGATCACTTCATTCGTTGCTGCTTTTCCGGCTATATTTCCAAGGGCTAGAGATGCACTTAATCTGGCAATATCACTCTTATCTTCGAATGTACTAAGCAGTTTAGCGATCACTTCATTTTTCACTGCTTTTTTACCTATATTCTCGAGAGCTTTGCACGCACTTGATCTGACAATGTCATTCTCACGTTCTAATGCACTAATCAGTTTATCAATCACCACATTCGTCGCTGCTTTTTCACCAATTTTTCCGAGAGCTTCGCATGCACTGTATCTGACGCTCCTATCTTCCAATGCACTAACCAGTTTATTGATCACTTCATTTGTCGCTGCTTTTTCACCCATGTTTCCAAGAGCTTGGCATACACTGCGTCTGACATCATTACTCTCATCTTCTAATACACTAACCAGTTTAGTGATTACTTCATCTGTTGCTGCTTGTTCACCCATATTTTCGAGAGCTTCGCATGCACACTCTCTAACCTCAGGGCTCTCATCTTCTAATGCATCAATCAGTTTAGCGATTACTTCATTTGTTGCTGCTTTTTCACCCATTTTTCCGAGAGCTTGCCATACACTTATTTTGATACTGACACTTTCATCTTCTAATACACTAACCACTTTAGTGATCACCTCCTTCGTCGCTGCTTTTTCACCTATTTTTCCAAGAGCATGGCATGCACTTGATCTGACCCATTGACTCTCATCTTCTAATGCATTAACCAGTTTAGTGATCACTTCATTCGTCGCTGCTTGTTTACCTACATTTCCGAGAGCTTCGCATGCGTAGCATCTTATCATCTCGTTTTTATCGTTCATTTCAAGAGCCACTAATTTAGTCATTGCAACACCTAAATTTGAACTGTTAATTTTCGAAATGAAAGAGAGCACTGCGATTCTGGTATTTGAATCATTATTTAGAAGTAGATGGGTAACTACATTGATAATTATTTGATTGCTTATTACCGATGGTGCTCTTCGCAACGATTCTGCAAGACGCTCACGAATAGTTTGATTTTCTATGAACAAACTATGTTTAATGCATTTCGCTAGCCATTCTAGGAGTAAAGTGTGTTGTGGAATAATTGATTGGTTTGCTGTCTCTTCAATGCAAGAAATAACAAGTTGCATATGTCTTATTCCAAGAAGATCCATTGGTGGTGCTAATATAAGTCCCCAAAAAACATTTAAACATATGTTTGTATCAGCCTCACTGGAAAGACCCGATAGAAAAGCAAACACTAATGCATAACGTTGATTGTATTTTTCTCGTTGAATAAACTTGATTTCTTCTTGATGAATTGAAAACTCTTTGAGAGCTTTAAGCAGATATCGTGCTGTAAAATATTCCTGAAAACTGAGGTGTACAAAATAATGATCTTTATCGGTTTCAATTTGAGTATCGATACCTTGTTTATTAAAACTTTTGAGAACTCCCATATTGAGTATATGCGGATGTGTATGTAAAGATACTTCTTCTTCATTTAATGCTTTTTTCAGTAGATTTGGTCGTAGAATTATAGTGTTACTCTTCATTCCATTGAATGCTAGATTTTCTAAGAATGTTAATTCTTTTTCACAACGTTGATTGACGTCGTCTTTAGATAAATTTTGAATTTTTTTATTTGGCATTGATAAATATCGTCGACATAACCATTCAACCATAACGGTGTACAATGACGTTATTGTTAATTCTTTTGTTTCTATAAAATCTTCATTACTCCAAAGACTGCATATTAATTCTAGATTCACTGGAATATGTGCAACACCCCATATAGATGGATTTGCCTGTAAGAATCTGAATAATTTTTGACTTTTGTCCAAAGAGTTGTCGAGCTCATCTTTCATTTGATCGAAGAATTGCTGCACATAACGCTTGATATTTTCATCTGTAAAACCTGTGATTTCCATTTGTACATGATAAGCTAATACATTTTGATATGGACGAGATGTTAAAATATGATGTGGAGTTGTAAGTAATTGTTCGAATAAACATTCTAAATGTGAAGGTACATTTTGTACAATTTCGTCATAACCATCCAAAATCCATAAAGTCTTTCTGGGATCAAAGTGCTTTTTCAGAATTCTATCCTCACTTTCAGATAGATCATGTGAAAAAATCTCTTTTTTCACAAGATCGAACAAAGAGTAGTTTTGACCATTTGATAAAGGTGGATATCGATTAGTTGTTAAGCGACGTAATGGAATCAAAGCCAATAATTCATACTCTGTCCAATATGAACCCATCGCCCATTGATAAGCAATATATCGACAAAATGTAGATTTTCCAATTCCAGCACGCCCGAACACCAACACTTTTTTCTCTTGATTATTGCATGTTTCAAAAATATTTTTTATATCGATTGTAGTTTTTGTTCCATAAATTTCTTCAAAACTTCCCATAATAGCATCATTGTTGGGAGCATCACGAAGTTGTTTTTCTTTTTGTTGCTGTTTTTTTGTTTCAACAAGAGCTAAATTAATATAACTCTCTTCAACTGGATAGAATTTTGCTGGATTCATCAGACGTTCAATATAACCATTTCGTTTGTATTCTTGTTTTATCCATTCAAATAGATGGTTTGACTCAAACTGTGATTCACCACTAAAAACATATAGAATATTTAGAAAATAATGAATATTTCATAAACTATTATCAAACACAAACTCATTTAATGTATTTTCAATCAGCTCAAGCAATTTATCAACGGATTTATAAAAGAAAAACTAATGTCGCATGTATCATGATGAGATTTATTTATTTATGATAGGTACATCTTATCAATATTTAAGTTTCGATACGAAATTATTTTGTCAGACAAAATAAACGGTGAAACAGTGCGAATCACATTGTATATCATTATATTTATATAGTAGAGAGTTTTCATAGGACAATCATATTAAATATATTCTCATTGTCGAATGAATATGATAGATTTTATTTATCTTTTCAAATGTACTAACCTTTGAAGAGTTACTTCGTTCAAGTGAACAATGAAGAGACGATCAATGAAATTGAGTGCTTCAGTTCTAGCTCTCAAACAAGTTCCTGGCATTAGAATAACTTCTCGCTCCTCTGGACTTGCTGAAAACTGGGAGATATCTTTGCCACATATAGCTTCAATGGTGAACAGAGTGCCATGTTCGCCTAGAAATGGTTCAACAATTTTCAGATCCATCGTAGTTGAATTGACACTCCACCACATATCGATATTATCTTTAGCAAAGACTGAACCGACATCACCGTAAACGCCTCTCCATACAACTGCCTTAATTGATGGTAGTTTCTTGAGAGCTGTCATCAATAGTTTCAAGTAGGTAAACCATGGCTTAAGTGCATGTCGATCTTCAGCTCGAAGTGTGCTGTTGAGAGAAGAATAAAAAGATGATGGCATCGAGTAAAGATATATAGCCGCCGATTCATCCCGCGTTAACAAATCAGAGTATCGACTATATTTATTTTTAGCTCTCATAACATAAGCTAAGACATTGGGGACAAGTGGAATTAGTTTTTTCACAGATTCTTGTAATGTCAGAATGGGTGAATCTTCATAACCAAATATTGGACTGCGATTGACTTCTTGAAGTTCTGAGAGAGTGCGGTTTATAAAACGATTATCCAACATAAGTATCAATTATCGTCGTATTTCCGCCAAGATGTGTTCAAATTAACCGTTTGTATCTGAAACGCAAAAATAATTAAGATATTGCATCAATTCAAATCGTCCTCCAGATTCGTTGTCTTCTATTGAATTTCCAATAAAAGCAAGGTTAATATCTAATAAAAACCGTTTTGTGACTACTAGTATACAAAAGAAAGCTTTCAATTAATACGATAGAAGGGAGGCACGAAGACATCCATACAGATTCGAATTATTGTTTATCTTAAATGAGAACAAGCACAGTATTTGTGATAGTGATTGACCACGCTTATTTCTCACTGTATGCTTACAGAATGTTATTAAATACATAATGAAAGGCATAAACAATATGCATGCGGTACGTCGGCTTGAGAGATGAACGATTCGCATTATGAGTCTGAAAGTAGATAGATCTGAGATTTAGTCAAAGACAAAAGTGGAGTGTGGATAAATATTGATGAAGAGCTAAGAATGTAGGTGAGAGCGCTCAGTCGCGAAAGACTTGATTGTTTATGATTATTTTTAAGAAATGTTAAATGGAGAAAAAGACAAACTGTGGATAAAATGTAATTTGAAGTTCAACTATAAGTAAGAACTAAAGTATAAAACCGTTTTACGCTTCCGAGGGAAATACTACAAAAAAATCACTCGAAAAATACGCACTCGTAAAAACAATAATCTATCCACTATAAAGAGATTTCCATCATGAAAAAAAATATGAATTGATTCCAAATAATACTCTTCCATAGTGAATTTTATTTCTCATCGTGACGTTTCGACAACGATTTTACTGTTATCAGACAATGAACAACACGATAGAATGACTAGCATGCGTGTAGATTCTCAACATATCCTCTCTCTTATGTTTTTCTTCTTTTGTTCTTTCCTTTATTTTTTGATAGTGGAACGGCAGAAGAAAAGTAATATATTATATGGAAAAAAAATCAATCGGAAAATATTTTTTGCCGCAGAAAGGAAAATCGCTATGGCAACAGATCCTAAACGGCATATGCTTCTTCTGTTATACAAGTGACGCGCGCTGGTTGTTGACAATTTTTGTTTGAGAGAAAAGAGAAAGATAAGCATGTTGTTTGACTGTTTGGATAGAATATTTGTCTTCTATCGATTCTTATCTAGCATAATAATATATACTCCATTTTTTCTTTTTATGATGAAATAAAACACAGTTTTACTATGTAACATCAAACGCACAGCAGGCGCGGGTATCCGTATTATTATTTCAAAACATGAATCAATCCAAAAAAAAAATATTCCATTAAAGATATGATTTTAAATAAAAGAAGTGACTATGTACATCTAGAGGAATATAAAAAATTAATTAGTAAATATTAAGTTATATCATAGTCTTACAAACATTTCATTATTAACATATATGAAATCTCTTAACTAAATAATAGTTTTACCCTATTAATTCTTTATTACATTCGAAAATAAGTTTAAATTATGTATCATAGTTGCGCATATTCGCAAAAACACTTAATTTAAATAAAAATCAATCATTTTACAAGCATTTTTATCACTTCTTGTCTTAGGCTTCAAAAAATGATTGAATTTTTGTTTCATTACATTTACTGAGAATTGTATTATGTTAGCGATTTTCTTTGCTTTAAATGATAGTTTTATTTTCTATTGATTAATTTGAAAAACAAAAGATACTAAATTTTTTCATAATTAATTGGCATATAAATTGAAAAATTGAAAAACATATAAAGCTAATCAGCACTCAGTTCAAGGTAATACTCTGTATCAACATACGATAATTAACGTAAGCTTCAGTCTTTCGTGTGCTGTTGCTTACTAACATCTACAAATAAAATGAACTCATTTATATTACGCGCGCTTACTAGTCTGATTGTATTTGTTCTTAGTACAACATTAAATAGTGAATACGCATTACAATGGCACTCTTTAAGGTGTGTGTGTGTTTTATTATCAAACTCTACCCACACCCTGCAGATTGATAAGTAGGAAGGTTTTACAACTGGTAAAGATTAAATATTAATGATTATGATATATGTAGTATCAGATGATCTTAATGTGAATAATTCTTGAAAATGTGGATGAGAATAATGATGATGAAAGGCAAGATACGATCACTCATATCCTCAACATTGTAGTAGAAATTATAACAAAATAAAAAAAATGTATGCCACTGTTTTTCGAATCAATAATATGATGTTTATTGATTTTACGTCCTTTGCGAACAAATGACAATTATCTTTGTAGTAAAAAAATGCATATCATCAATATGCGAAAATTAAAATATGGTATAGTTATATTGCATATGTCATTCTTAAAACGCTTTAAATATGATTTTTTTTTTCTTTTTTATATTTCATTCTTTTTATAACATGTGAATATTTCTGATAATATTTATTATCAATAAATTATTCTATTTCACTTGTTTTATTTCTGTGCATGTAAGTGTTTAGATGGTAAAAGAAATAGACTTTATCATGTTTTTATTTAATATTATCTAATTTCATTTTAGCGTTCTTCATGGAGTTAAGTCGGGTATGTTTCATTTATAAGTTTATTACAATGTTTTTTTTTCATTTTAAGAACACTTAAATACTCGTACACATGTTAGAAAAACACGTCGTTTTCATGCTGGAACATCATTCAATTCGCACAAAATCACTGGCAGCTATAAATCATCAAATGATGTTGCTATATCTGAAATATATGATCCATTATTGGGTGTATGGAATATAATTGGAAGCATGGCAGAGGAACGAGAAGCTCATGCTGCAACTATACTCAAGTCTGGCAAGGTTCTTGTTGTTGGTGGCGAAAATCTTTCCGGTTATTTGACTCATTGCGAAATATATAATCCATCAACTAGTCAATGGTCTAGTGCTGGAAGTATGGTAGTACCACGTGCTTACCATACTGTAACTCTACTTAATTCCGGCAAAGTTCTTGTCACAGTTGGTAGGACTTTTAACTCGATTATTCTAGCTAGTTGTGAGATATATGATCCAGATATGGACACATGGAGTCTTACGGGAAACATGACAGCAGAACGTACCCGCCATACTGCAATTTTACTCAATTCCGGCAAAGTACTTGTTACACGTGATGATTCTCGTTCTGAAGTTTATGATCCAATAACGGGTAAATGGAATTCTCTCGCAAGTATGGGACCTATACCACGTTACGATTCTGTTGGAACTCTGCTCAGCTCAGGCAAAGTTCTACTTAGTGGTGGCATGCAATTATCTAAGTATTCGACTAGTTCAGAAGTATATGATCCAACAACAAATGAATGGAATCCAGTTGGAAACTGAACAAGAGGACGTTGATTTCATTCTTCAATTCTTTTTAATTCAGGTCAAGTTCTTGTAAGTGGTGGTGTAGGTGACGCCGATTATTTCTCTAGCTGTGAGATATATAATCCATTAACGGGCAAGTGGAATAGTACAAGTGACATGACAGAATCACGTTCTTCTCATACTACAACTCTACTTAGTTCAGGTAAAATTCTTGCTACTGCCGGTTATGGAGGTGCTGGTTTTCTAGATTTATCTGAAATCTATGATCCATCAGCACGTACACGGACACGTAGTTATCATAGTGCAACTGTCCTTAATTCAGGCAAAATCTTAATTGCTGGTGGTGAGAATTAGGCAGTTAAATAACTTATGATTAGTTTTTGATAAATAATAATAACAAAATAATAAAGGTTTTCATTTCGTTTTGCTGAATTGAGGGTGTGAGTGTTGTTCTTATCTCACATCCTCAACCAAACCACAGCCACACGATCTTTTAACAAGTGAACAAGTTCTTTGTTATTTTATGGATTTATATCAGAAGATTTATTGATAGATAAATGTAGTGTATTCATATACATTGAACCAATGATTTTTGCTCAAAATAAGAAAAATATGATGTGAGATTGATAAGTGTGGGTGAAGGTGAGTGTGAACGATAAAGGGAAACGGTAACAAAAAAAATTATCCACACCGTCAACGATTTTTCACATTTCTTCCAGAATGAAAATCGTATAATTCTATGTTACAGATATTAAACATATGGTCAATTTTGAAGATTTATTTCGAAAAAAATGATTTAGAAGCTATTTACAGTCAATTATATGAATATTAGTCATTCATAAAAGATATTGTTTAGAGTCCAGCTTTTTCCAATCTTGATAATTCAATTTTTTGGTCAATATAAATCTGAAAGAAAGCAAATAATTACAAATAGAAACACAACAGATATCAACATACTTTACTGAATGCCTCTAGTAATTGATCAATTTTATCAGGAAAATTTTCAATTGGATCAAAATATTGTGAACGCATTCGACAATCTCGTTCTTCTTGAATTTCTGATTGATTTAATTTTTTCAAACCTAAAATATTAATAGACAATTATGTTCAACTGAGATACATCAATCTTGAAAGTGGGTGTACAAGTGTTCTCTTCAGTCATACTCTCCTCTACTCGTTGTGGAATATTTTACCGGAAATAGAAAAAAACAAAAGTTGTGTATAACTGTTAAAAGTGATATGTTTGAAGTTTGTTCGTATAAATAAAACCTCAAACCAATCACCTGTCATTTGAAAAAAATTATGAAAATGTTTGGCATACAAGAGAAGCTCTGAAGTCATCTAATAGATAAATCATATAAATCTACATACCTGTCCATCGTAAAAATTTCTTTAGCATAAATGAGAATATAATTTGATCTTCTTTTTGATTGTCTTTCGCATGACGAAAACTGTCACTAATTATTGAAACAAACATACTGAAACAAACAAAAACAACTAGAAATATAAATAACGTAAAACAGAATGGACCAAGAAAAGCATCAGCTCCCACTATTTTTGATGCACCACATTTGACTAATGTCATTTTGAAAAGCATTTGAGCAGTGTTTAATAAACTTGAACAGGACGAAAGTTTTGATACGAATAATAAATAAAATAAACAAAGAAAAGCGATAAATACAATTGCAAACATTATTGAAAATGAAATCAATGCCTTTGCACAATATTTTAATGTGTGAGCGAATAAAGATATCTGTTGATTAAAACGAAGTAATTGAAGACATTTAATCGTACTAAAAAAACAACAATAACCAAGAAGAAATGTTAAAATATCATTAACATAAACTGCAAGTTGTAAATTGATATAAATATAACCATTTGTTTGTTCAAATAATTGACTAATACGATTAGTTTCTTGGAAACGCCAAAAATAAACTCCAATACTTCCCAATGAACAACCAATTATACCTAATTGAATTAGCGTCCAAAATTGACGAAAATATTTTAATCTTAATTCAAATAATAATCGAATTTCAATGATCATAAAATAAATGATAAAAAATATATAAAATATTGTACAAACTAATTGTAATATTGATGTAAATGCTAAATTTAAAAAACAAAAATTTATTTGTCTTTAGAAATAAAAACTAAAGAGTGAATTACTGTAGAAATTAATTGGTTCGAAATGGGCTGTTGTATAAATACCACCTGTTGGTAAAAATTCAGTAAGTAAAGTAACTGCAGTTAATAATTGAACACTTGGATTATATAATGTTAGTTGAATAAAAACAGCTCTTGTTTTCTCATCAATCCATTCTAATTGATGAAGTTTAGATAAATTTGTTTTCATATCAGATAAAGGACCACGAAATTCATAGACATAACCACCTCCTCTATATATTCCAAATTCACCTACATATGTATATGTATCTAATTCATCACTTGTAGAATAGTTAAATGCTTTTCTAATCGATGAACTATAGATTTCATCTTCTATTGTTTGATTTGTCCATCCTGGTTGAAATAACTGTATTTCTTCATTTAAAAAGCTATAGCTATCTTCACATATTGAAATAATACGTTGATCGGGACATAATTTTGATTTAATACGTAATTGTCTCATTGTTGCCCAACCAATTAATCGATTCGATTTATCATTTAAAAATCCATTTAAATATTGTGGAGTATCTCCATTATACCATTGTTGTGCACGAATATTTGACACGAAACTATTTTCTAACCAATACCAATATTCATCGATTGTATTGATCTAGAAAAACAAAATTCATTTCAATACAAGAAAAGAAGAACAAACTTTAGTATAATCAGCAGTCGTTTGTCTTTGATTGAGAAAATAAGCTCGTAAATGATTGACTTGATAAAAACTATGTTGTTCACGATTTGAATAAGTTATTATAAAAACTAATATGGCAAATATAAAATAAATAAGAAATTCTCGAATAATTGCCCACATTTGAATTTCTTTTAAACGTTGATCACGAGCATAAACTACTTCATTTTCATTAAGACGATTAATACTTTTTCGAGATTGAGAAGAAAATATTGAGCGATACTATAAATCGAAAATTTATTTTCCTATGGGATTGGAAAAGAAAACAAACCTCAAGTGAATGAAGATATTCCTCATCATTAGATATATTAAATTCATCATCTTCATTTATATATTCACTTGTTTCTTTCTCATCTTCTGAATTTCGACAAAAACATATGAAGAATATAGCCAAACATATAATCTTCAATGAGAAAATATTTCAGAAATATAGATTAAAAGTAAGTAGAAAGTATACTTTAATAGGTTGAGTAAAAATAACTGATGAGAAAAATCCAGTAAGAACAGATGTTAACCATTGTTGAGTTTTGACATCACCGAATTCAATTCCTCGAACAATGATAAAAAATATTGAAATAACAATAATTATCATTGAAACACCATAAGCAATAAATAAACACCACCAAGGAAATGTTATTAAAGATTTCTTTTTCTTAATTGCAGGGATATCTTCTGAACTACTATAAATAAGAATGTAAGTATCGATGAATGTATTTAGAAGTATATACGAACCTTTTTCGAGATGATTGTATCTGATATAATGCTTCACGTAATCGTGAGACTTGTCGACGAGGTTGAATACGTCGAAAGAATTGAACAATTAAGAGACTTGGAATAAATGTAAATAATTCGACCATTATACCAATTCCAATCTTAAATATAAAAAGATGTTTATGTTAATCAGAAATGGAAAATTTTAGAGGCACAGGGGTGTGAGTGTAGTCTATATTTTTCGCTATAAAAATTAATATATACCTGTTGTGCTGCTATATAAAAAGGACCAATTGATAAAGCGCCACTATGTGTTTCACTTGATGCGTTCGCTTCATTTGATAAATCATAATACATTATATTGATTAACATTGAAGTAAAAAATAAAACAAAACAACAAGTACATCGTTGAGTACGTGTAAATTTATTTGATGGTGGACGAGAAAATATAGAAAACCATAAATGACCATCGGAAATACTATGATAAGCTTTTTTTGATAATACATATGAAAATTCTTGTTTTTCTGCTTCACTAGCAATTGGTAAAGTTCGTTCAATCTAAATTGAAGACAAAAATAAGAAATAGTATGTTTTCAATCACACGACTTACTCGTCCATCATCTTTTTCAACTGCAAACCATTGTTGACAAATAAAATAAAACTTATCCAACGTTTGTAAATCTCGAACAATAATATATTTTAAAAACCATGATGCTAAAGAACCTTCACCTGTATTATCATGCCAAATACGAATATAATTTAATAATCCCAATGATCTATATGTTAATCTTTCATTAAATCTTCAAAAAAAAAATAATAGTTTTACTTTGGAACAGCAATAATAAAAGAATTAATTCCACCACGTTGAAAAATCTTTCGATGAGGATCAGAAAATAATCGAATTTGTGTTTGATCATCGCCGCCCGATAAAACAAAATAAACCTAGCAGTAAGAAAAAAAAAAGGTTTCTTAAAATATTTTTTTCTTTGTACTGTATTACTTTTGAATCTGTTCCTGCATTTGTTCTTTGACCAGTAAAAACAAGAATTTGATAATAATAATGATCAGATTTATTATTATCAACCAATGGTGTCACTCCCAACTAAAACAAAAATACATATTTTGACTCTATGAAATATATAAAAGAATATTTTAATTTACTTTTTCAAAATCTTTCTTATCTTTAAAACGTGCATAAATCATTAAAATAATATAAATTATCGAGGTAAATATCATTGTTAAATAAACTGTTTTATTTTTCATAAAATCAGCATTTGCAAAAACATAACTCCAATTAATTGGTGCAGGTAAAACAATAAAACCACCAGCAAATGTTGTCAAATGAGTTGAAAGGCATTCGGTTTCATAGAGATTTGTCAAAGGACCAACTATTAATCCATCTGATTTCCAATTATTATTTTCATCAAGATAATAACAACCTGATGTATATATAAGAAGTTCATAATTTGATGTAAAATCATATGGTTCATCGGTAATTGGTAAAGACGTATTTATTGAAGAATTATTTAAACAATAATTATTAGTTTCTGTTGAATTTAATTCTCTAATTCCAAATATTAATGATTGATGTCCAGGTGTTTGTTGATTATCAATAAAATATCGATATATATCATCATTGGTTAAATCTATAATTACAAAAAAGAAATCTATATGAATGTCAAAGAAAATGAGACATACTGAAAGGACAAAATACTGTCCATCCATCAATGAGATTAATTGAACTATTTAATTGTGGTGTTTGATCAAATTTATAAATAAATAAATAAGC